ATCTAGGACTTGAACCATACAGTCAGCTATATGGGATCTACCTATTTATTTCATATTTTAAAAAATTATTTATTAATTCCATTTGTTATTATTATTTTTAAATCCAATCAGAGAGAGAGAGAGAGAGAGAGAGAGAGAAAAGAAAAGAAAAGTGAGAAAACAAGCTGCCGGGTCCAGGACTCAAACTGTGGTTGGCCATGTGGGAATCCAGCGCCTTTATCCACTACGCCTCCTGCCAGCCCTTATGGGATCCACCTTAACCACCATGCCACTGACTCACCCAAAGCTGTCATATCTGCTTAAATGTCAAAATGACCCTTTTGATATAGGAATACATTTAACAGAGAAAATGCGAGGGTTGTATGGTGAAAACAGGAAACACTGGAATGAAATGAAAGAATACTTAAATAACTGGAAAGACAGTCCACACTCATGGATTGGAGTCTTGATATTGTTGGGATTGCAGTCTTCCCCAAATCGGTCTGTAGACAGTGTAATGTCCATCAGGCTCACTCCTACAAGCAGGAGTGTGCCACTGCACAATGGCCGAGTCTGCATAAGGGACATACGCAGGCAAGGGTACGTGCCCAAGTCCCAGTAACTGGGAGGCTGGAGCAGGAGGGCTATGAAATTAGATCCTGTGAAAAATACTTCTCTTCTTTTCTTTCCCATGTGCTTGGACTCTCTGTTGCTCATTAAAAAAAAAAAGAAGAAGAAGAAAAAGAAAACTCCAACTGCCATTTTTGTTGTTGTTGTTGGCAGAAAGTGACATGCTGATCTCAAAATGTATACGGAAATATTGGCATAACGACTATGTCGCTGGACTCCCGTGTAGTTGACCATGGTTTGAGTCCCGGACCCAGTGGCTTAAACTCACACTAGGCACGGGTGCGTGCATGCCCAAGATCTCAAGGGGAGAATGGAGGAGAAGGGATTGTGGCATGGTCATCCCCCCTGGGGGGTGATTTCTCTCTTTCTGTTTCTCTGTCTCTCTCTGTCTTTCTGGCGAGCGTGTGCACCCTATATAGCAAAAACCTCTTAAAAAATGTATATGGAAATATAAGGGACCCAGAAGAGCCATATAATCTTAAAAGAAGGAAGACAAAGTTAGGTGACTATTACGTCTCAATTTTAAAACTTACTACAAAGTCACCTCAATTAATGTGATGTAGTACTCGTGTAAGGGTAGACAATATCAATCAGTGTGACAGACTTCAGTGTCCACACATGAACCCTTACATTTATGGTCAGTGGATTCTGAACAAGGATGGCAAGACAATTTAATAGGTGAAGGACTGTCTTTTCACCAGTGGTGTTGGGACAAGTAGATATCCACACACTCAAGAGTAAGTTGGATCCCTGCTTCTCACTATATACAAAACTTAACTCAGAATGGATTCTAGACCTAAGAGTAAGCAGTAAAATTGTAAAACTCTAAGAAGAAAACACAGGGGTCAGGGTCATAGCATAGTTGTTGAGCACCATGCAGAGGAAACCAAATTCTACATGGCTGACCAGGATTTGAGTCCTGGCCCCAGCAACTTGAAAACCACTGTGAGAATACATATGGGTGCCCAGGCCCAGGATCTGGACAGAATGGAGAATTAGAGGGAAGAGTAGTATGGCAAGGGACCAGCAAATGGCATAATAGTTTCATCGCTGGATCCCCACGTAGTTGACTACAGTTCGAGTCCCAGACACGGAGATCCAACGCCAGGTGTGTGTGCGTGCCCAAGATCCAGAGAGGAGAATGGAGGAGAAGGGATTGTGGCGTGGCCATTCCCCCAGGGGGTGGTTTCTCACTTTCTGTCTCTGGTGAACACATGCCCACTACAGGAAAAAACAAAAACAAAAACAAAACAAACAAACAAAAAAAACTCCTTGTTATGGTGTGACCAGGACCCTTCAGAGGTTGTTTTTTTTTTTTTTTTTCTTGTCACATGCATGAATGTGTACACATGTGCCTTCTGGCATATTAAAAAGAGATAAGAAAATATAGAAGTAATTCTTTGTGATCTTGAGGTAGGCAGTGGTTTCTGGAATATGACATCAAAAGAAGCAGTAACAACAACAAAGTAAATCAACTTTCGTTAAAATAAAGACTTTCGTGCTGCAGAGAATACCATTAAGGAGGTGTATGTAGAGCTAATATCAACACCCTCTGACCTCTTTGCCACCTTTATTACCTCTTACTGTCTTTTGGCTAAGTCTCTAGCTCAGGTGTCAGTCCAGATACTGGGGTTTGTTTAAGAACCACCCAGTGTTTTGCTGTGCAGACTGGCCTTAACCGTAGCGAGAGCGCCGATGTGAAGACGTATCCTGACAATATGTTCTCCGTGATAGAGTTTTAAATAAAGGAACAGCATCTACCCGTATCCGGGCAGACACAGAACTATCTCCATGTGCTGTATTTAGAATGTGACTTAGGAATACTACCTGTACATTCTGTTCTTACGAAGTGAACAGTATCTTGACTGAAGTCTCATTTGTACTGTGGCAAAGTGCCTCTTGTTTCAGGCATGTAATATTTGAGAAGCTCGTTGGTGAAGAGAAAGCCTTATTGATGTATCTGCCTATGTTGGAAGATTTATATTCCACAACATCCTGAAAGCACTTCCTTTCTCTCCCTTAAGTAGACAAATACTTAATGATGACAAAACCATCTGGAAAAAATCACCTTGAAGACTCTCTGGGTAAAGGATTTGACAAAAACAAAGGCAGTTGATATAAAGTTTTAGCTCTTGAAGTTGGTCGATACCACTGCAGAAAAGCTGGAAGAGATTCACATGATTTCTGGGAAAAATAGTTCTCGAGGAAGCTTCCTTGGGGTAGAAACTTACTGAAAGTCTTTTGTGATCAGGAACGAAGCCATTTACTTAAAATTCCTTTTGTCTATATCCACGGATTTGTACTCTGTTGAAAAACAGTTTTCCATTGGTTGTGCTATAAGTCTTATTTTTTGAAGGTTCCCCCCATTGCTGATTTAGAATGTTCTGGAAGATAGATTGCATAGGAACTAAAAACCTTTACTTTTTGTAATATTATTAAGGACATCACCCTACAGAGTGCAAATAATAGAACTCTTTCAAAAGCGTTTTGAAATGTGTAATGGGCGACCTGCCTCATGTGCGACTGAAAAAAGATAGCAGGACCGGGCCCACGAGTCGTGTCAACGTCTAGGTGCTCCCTGCAGACAGGACCAGCAGGGTCAGGAAGACAGACAGGAGGTTGTTCCACTTCCTGCTTATCCTTGTGCCCATGTTCCCTTCCTGTCGTCTTTCAGGGCTGGCTAGTCTGGAGCGTGCTCAAGTAGTTTTTACATAAATCTGCAGTACTGCTGCAGGTCTAAGGTGCAGGTAGTATTAGTTGAGAAAGAAGGAAAATGGATTATGGGCAAAGAAGAGAAATAAGAAGTACCATATTCAAAAGAGCGCTGCGAGCTGTGGTTGGGCTTCATCCTGGGGCTTGTTTATTCTTTAGCCTTGGATCTGAGTTCTTAAATTTTAATGTATTTTCCTTTCCTCAGTGCTATTGAAATTTTAGACAATCGGGAACCAGCAGTTAGCATAATGGCTATGTCGTTGGACTCCCACGTAGTCGACCGCGGTTTGCGTCCCGGATCCGGTGGCTTAAAAAACTCACACCGGGTGCGTGTGCGTGTGCGTGCGTGCCCAAGATCCCGAGAGGAGAATGGAGGAGAAGGGATTGTGGTGTGGCCATCCCCCCAGGGGGTGATTTCTTGCTTTCTATCTCTCTGTCTCTCTCTCTGTCTGTCTGGTGAGCGCACGCGCCCTATAGCGAAAACCTCTCAAAAAAAAAAAAAAAAGAAATTTTAGAGAATCAAGAAGGGGAAAAATGCACTAATAATCTTATCTTCGTAATAAAATCGCTTTTATTTATTTTAAAATTTATTATTTATTTCTTTTAATTCGATCAGAGTGGGACAGAGAGAGAGAGAGAGAGAGAGAGAGAAGCAAGCCGCCAGGCCTGGGACTTGAACTACAGTTGGCCATATGGGAGCCCAGTGCCCTTAACCACCACACCAACTGCCGGCCCACTAAACCACTTTTAAACTATTGTTTAGCCAAATTTTAGCCAAATTTGTTTTTTCTCTTCCATTGTTTTTTTTGAGAGAAATTTTTGCTGTAGGGTACATGTGCTCACTAGAGAGAGAGACAGAGACAGAGAGGCAGTGAGAAATCATCCCTCAGGAAGGATGGTCATGCAGCATTCTTTTCTCTTCCATTTTCCCCTTGGGATTTTGGGCACACGTGCATATGCGCCTGGCATGAGTTTCAGGCCACTGGGTTCGAGATTCAAACTGCGGTTGGTCATGTGGTAGTCTAACCTTTAACCATTATGCCTCCCACTTGCCCCTTCCTCGAATTATTTCTATGCATCTGGAATTTTTGTCTGCTCCATCTCTGAAATGTCTTTCTCCATGCCCTTGGAAGGCCGGCTGAAGGACAAATGGTAGATGATGCCACAGTACATTAGCTAAATTGTCACTCCTGTCTGAAAAGGAACTTTGTGTTGCATGTTGATTTTTTTTCAGTAGGTGGCTAATATTTGTATATACCATTACTGTGTAGTAAGTGAAAAAATCTTTAGAATGATGTTAAAGGAGAAGATGACTGAAGACTTCTGAGTAAACTACTCTGTGCTTCTCAAGAATGATCCTGATTTGGGACCAGCAGTTGGTGTAATGGTTATGTTGTTGGACTCCCATGTAGTCGAGTGTGGTTCAAGTACCAAACCTGGTGGCTTAAACTCACGCTGGGCACATGTGCGTGCGTGCCCAAGATCCCGAGAGGAGAATGGATTGCCACGTGGCCATCCCCTCCTGGGGGGTGATTTCTCACTTTCTGTCTGTCTTGGTCTTTCTGGTACAAGCGCATGTGCCCTATACCAAAAACTTCTCAAAAAATTAATTAACTGTGTAAATGAGCATTAAAACTACAAAGAGAAACATTCTAGGTTACTGTTTCTGTTTATTTCAGGGCTGAAAACAGAGCGAAATCACTTTCCTAATTAAATAGCTGTTAAGAACACAAAATGGCGACTCCTGGAAGGAAGCGAACACCTGTGAAAGACCGATTTTCTGCGGAAGATGAAGCTTTGAGTAACATTGCCAGAGAGGTATGTTCGGTAAACCCCCTCTCAGCCCTGAGTTGCACAGATGAGAGTATTATAAAAACGCTGTGATGAGAGAGCGAGGCAGCCCTTCATTTATGAAGCTGGTTCAGCGTGTTTGCGATGAACAAGATGCCATGGCGGGCCTCTACAAGACCGTATTAGGATGAAATATACTTGGACAGCTTGCCAGCTCATTTAAAATATTTTTGTGGGTCACTTGAGTTACAATGTACTTATTTTTATGTATCGAATTGTTTAATCAATCTTCAGAATTTAAACTTAGGGTAATTAGAATGCTGAAAATTTCATAACCATATTATAGAGATGTTCACTGGGCTGTGTAGTTAATACATTTTTGTAGTTGTTATAGAAATATTGACAGAAACAGTCTCTGGTGCCTATTCTGAAACAGTATTTTAGTTGTTTTTTTGAAACATCGCGATGGAATTTTTATGTTTAATTCTTCGAAATAGTAACAGCATGTGGGCATTTTTGTTTCAGTTTGTTGACTTAACAAAAGAAAAAAAAAAAGGGAAGAGGTGTCACCTTTTGAACCACTGGCCCCATTTCCTGTTGTATATTGGAAATTTAAGATAACTCCCAGCTGTGATTTCTTAGTGAAGTACCAATTTTTTTCAGACTCTTGATTCTATTTGTAGCTGTAGCTGACCGTAAACTGATCTGGTACAAGAACTGCTTAGAGCATCATAAATTTTATTCTCTTGGTGAGAATTATTCCTACATCATTTCCCCTTTGTTATTCTTAGTGAATAACTTATTTAGGACTAGTGCTGCTTCCTGTTGACATGTTGCTCAGTCTTCATTTGACCTAGCTCCTTGTCACTCAGTCATTAGATTGTGAATTAGAAGTCAAATTAGTAGGGAAGGTATTTGAAGCAAAGAAAAGTTTTCTAAAAAGTGAAAACAATATTATGATACTACACCTCCTTCAAAATTGAGTAGGAGTATAATTCCCAACATGTGTTGAGGTCATACTGGTCACAAACACTATTTTAAAGTGTTTGGGGGACCAGCAGTTGGCGTAATGGCTATGTTACTGGACTCCCATGTAGTCGACTGCAATTTGAGTCCTGGACCCCATGGCTTAACCTCACACCGGGCGCGTCTACGTGCGTGCCCGAGATCCCAAGAGGAGAATGGAGGACAAGGGATTGTGGCGTGGCCATTCCCACTGGGGGGTGATTTCTCGCTTTCTGTCTCTCTGTCTCTCTGTCTCTGTCTTTCTGGCAAGCACATGCGCCCTATAGCAAAAACCTCTCCAAAAAAAAAAAAAAAAGTGTTTGCAGCACATTAATTTATTTAATCCTTGTAAAATTCTGAGATAGGCTTTAATTGTCATCTGTATTTTACAGATGGGGAAAGCATTGCGTGAAAGAGTTTTGTCACTTCCCTAAGATTACAAACCTAGGGAGTAGCAGGGCTTAGATTCAATCAAGTCTGGCTCCATAGTCTGCATTGACACTTACTCATGTTTATCAGTCAGTCTCCTCTCATTCTTTTATTAATTTGTTTGTTTGTTTGTTTTGGTAACTTTTTAGGATTTTGAAAGCAATTTCATGTCTTGATTCTTATAAAAATCTTGAGCTAGGTAGGAGAGGTATTATTATTAGTTTTACTTACAATCAAGGAAGCAGATAAAGCTAAGAGATAACTGTTGAAAGTCTTAGGACCCAGGCTCAAGTTAGCCACTTACAGCCATTTTACCTCCCACGCTGCTTCCAAGACAGGTGGGCTTTAGAGAATGGACGAAAAGGGATGGTATGTAGCACGTCCATTCCCCGTTGAGGGTGGCTTTCTGGCTTTCTCACTTTCTCTCTCTCTCTCTCTCACTGTTGAGTACATGCACCCTATAGCTAACCTAAAAATAAAACAAAATACACAGACGATTTAATTCTGGATGGTCAGCTTTTGAATACTTACAGGTTGTTTTTGTTCCTGTACGTTATTTTGATGTGAAACAGCTTTAACCCAGTTTTATATTAGAAGGGTTTTGCCATAAGGTACATACGCTTGCTGGAGAAAGTCAGAGACAAAGAGAGGGAAAGCGAGAAATCAGCCTCTAGGGCAAATGGCCACACTGTAGTCCCTTCTCCTCCATACTTCTCTTAGGATTTTGGGTATGCACGCACATACACCCTGCGTGATTTTCAAGCCACCAGGTCTGGAACTTTAATCTTGGTTGGCCACGTGAGAGTCCAGCACCCTAACCACCACCCACCTGCTTGGCCTCAAGTGAAAATTATCTTAAAGCATAGACCGATGGGGGGGAGTTATGTGAAATTGGGGACCCTAAAGTAGCTAACCTTTCAAAAGCAGAAAAAAAGGATAGAATGAAAGCCAGGGAAGCTGCTTAGCCACGTTCAGTTTAATGAGTGTTATATGGTTAGTGTCCTATGAGACGAGAGTGAGGTCTCTTGAAGGGTTTACAAATAGTCTTTTTCTTTTTTTTTTTTTTGAGAGGTTGTTGCTATAGGGCGTGTGTGCTCACCAGACAGACAGAGAGAGACAGAGAGACAGAAAGTGAGAAATCACCTCCCAGGGGGGATGGTCACGCCGCAATCCCTTCTCCTCCATTCTCCTCTCGGGATCTTGGGCACGCACGCACACGCGCCCGGCGTGAGTTTAAGCCGCTGGGTCCGGGACGCGAACCGTGGTCGACTACTTGGGAGTCCAGCGACATAGCCATTACGCTAACTGCTGGTCCCACAAATAGTCTTTGTAAGGCATCACGTAAGCCTGTTATGTCACTGTTGTCCTTGTTTTAGAGCAGCAATTGTGAAGAACATGTTTTTCGTACTTTTCTTCAAATGGAAGTCTTCAAATGTTGCTTATTTTTTAGACCTGATGATCTGTGATTCCCTCCAGCTTTAAAATTCTGATTGCTTTCAAGGCCTAGGGTCCCCCCCCCCAAGACATTGATATTTATGTGTGTAGTTTTCTTAAATCTAAAGAATGATTGTCTTTTATAGGAATTGGAGTCTAGCAAAAATGAGGCTGGAGATTTTTATGTCAGGCAGAGTTTATGTGTGAATGTATTTGGTGTGAAAATCTACTTGTGGGATGGCCCTATGGCCTAGTTCTTAAGGAGAGTAGATCCCACACGGCAGACCATAATTTGAATCCTAACTCTGGCAGCCTGAGAAACAGACAGGGCGCTTCACCTGCTTGGCTGTGTGCCCAAGGCTGCGTGGGTACGTGCCCACTCCTGCATGGGTGTGTGTCCAGATCCCTATAGGCTGGAGGAGTGAAGGAGAAGGGAGTGCACCTTGACCATGCCCCCACTGGGGCTATCTTCCCCCTTTCTGTCTCTCTTTGGTGAGTACACACACACACCCTGTGGGAGCAAATTATATGTGTTATGTATGTGTAATATATATATTAAAAGTATATTATGTGGGGCTGCCAAGTGACACGATGGTTAGGGGTGCTGGACTCCCACGTGGCTAACTCCTGTTTGAGTCCTAGACCTGGCGGCTTGCTTTCTCACTTTTCTCTTTCTCTGTCCTTTTCTGGTCAAATAAAATAAATAAATAAATGGCTAAATAAAGTTAAAATAATTCTTTAAAAAAGTATATTATGTACATATTTTTACATATATTTTATATATATAATGTGTATATATGTGTGTATGTATTATATATATATTAAATACACACACACACACACACACACACACACACACACATATATATATAAAGAAAACCTACCTGTAATAATAAGAAAGGAAGGTATATGGCTGTTAAACATTTGTAGTTATTGCAATGTTCTGATTTCTTTAAGTGTACAATTCAGTGGCATTAATTACACTCATAAGGTCGTGAGACTGACACCACTGTTGACTTCTAAAACCTTGTCATCACCCCCGGTAGAAACTCTGTAACCATTAAACAATAACTCCCCACTATCCCCTCTCAGCCCCTGGTAACCTCTAATTCACTGTGTGTCTCTATGAATTTGCCTGGTCTAGATATTTTACATTAAGTAGAATCATGCAGTATCTGTTCTTCTGTGTGTGGCTTATTTCACTTAGTGTAATGTCTTCAAGATTCATTCGTATCGTAGTATGAATCGGATCTTCATTCCTTGTCTTTCCTTTTTTGGAGAGGTTTTTGCTATAGGGCGCATGCGCTCACCAGAAACACAGAGAGAGATAGAGAGACAGAAAGCGAGAAATCACCTCCCAGAGGGGATGGCCATGCTGCCGTCCCTTCTCCATTCTCCTCTCAGGATCTTGGGCATGCACGCACACGCACCTGGCGTGAATTTAAGCTACTGGGTCTGGGACTCGAACCACGGTCAACTACATGGGAGTCCAGCGACATAGCCATTACGCTAACTGCTGGTCCCCCTTGTCTTTCATTTTTAAGCAAATTATTCCATTCCCTTTTTATGGCTGACTAATATTCTGTTGTCTGTATATACATGTTGTTTATGCTTCCTCTGTTAATATACACTTGGTTGGATTTCATTTTGTTTCCTAATGAGTTAATAGCCATTCCAGGCATCTTGGAGTAAGTTTGTGCGTTTTGGTTCTGTATTGACAATTTGAGAAGAAGGATATAATAGAAAGAATTGTGCTTGGTTTAAAAGATACTTTCTAGTGTTACTATTTTATGGAGCGATAAATATAGTAGCTTGACAGAGCGATTGATCTTGTCATAGGAATTTCACTTCTTTGAGTAGCTCATTTATTTTTAGAGCATGGTAAATTAGGAATAAGAAACTTTCAGCAGCTTTAAAAAATGTGAAGAATTACCATAATTAACACTAATTATAGGTGTTAATACCATTTCATAATATAGTTCTTGGGCCAGCTGATGACATGGTGGTTAAGGTGGCTGGATCCTACATGACCAACTGGGAGGTTCAAGTCCTGGACCTAGTGTCTTGAAAAACACATAGGGGTGTGTGTGCATGCCCAGACTCCCAAAAGGAGGTGAGATGGAGAAGAAGAGACTGTGGTATAACCATTTCCCATGGGA